CCAATCTTATCTAAAGGAATGTTGGCAACTGATTGCTGCTAGATGAGGAAGAGCTGATCTTCCTAAAACAAGGAACTCTAGATAGGATGACTAGATTCAGTGGATGGACTTGCACTGGGTAATGGCTGGGGGCACTGATAACACAGTGGACAGTAACAGGGATGACAGAGTATATGGGCTCCAGTGGGAGGGGGGAGCTATGGGAGGGTGCTATTTGGGATGGGGGTATAAAGATGAATAAGATTGTTTGGGATGTTCTGCTTGAAATACACACACACACACACACACACACACACACACACACATACACAAATCAATTTTAAAAAAGAGTTTCAGAAAAAAAAAAAAAGAATTTAGCCACCAGAAAGGAAAGCTTATGTTCTGGACACCAATGTATGTTCTGGGTTCATTTTATAAATGCTCCAAACTAGAAACTATGTAAAAATCCTTTAGTTGGTGGCGGGATAAATCTGCACCTGTACAATACAAAGCTATACTGTGGTAAAGAGGGACAAACAGGAATGAAGCTCGGATGTGCTCTGCTACGCAAGCAAGGCAGAGTCAGCGATGCCTTTATATGAGATTCTGGAAAAGACAAACCTAAGGGCAGAAAACAGGTCAGCTGTTGCCAGGGGCTGCAATAGGAAGATAAACTGACACAAAAGGGTATGGAAAGCCAGAAGGCAGAAGCAGACGGATCTTTGTGAGTTCCAGGCCAGCCAAAGCTACATAGGGAGACTCTGTCTCAAAACAACAACAGCAACAGCAGCAGCAACAGAAACAAACCAAGGGCCATGAAAGACTCTCCTGGGGCAATGAACTAAATCTTGGTGATAGTAATTATCAGATCAGTATCCATTTGTAAAACTTCTTTGTAAAATGAAAGGGTGAATATTGCTGTTTCTAAACATTCCTCAGTAAACCTGACTGTAAGCTACTCCAACCAGGGCACTGAAACTAAATCCGGCACTTGATTCTATTGGCTGTTTTAATCTGGCCAGCTCCGGTGGGTCAGCTTATCACCCAGGCCACCTTCTGCCCAAATCAGAGCTCTTTCCTCTCCCCCTCAGTGGCATCTACTGTCAGCCAGGCCTGGTGGTGCAGGACTGTGATTCTAGCTGCTTGGAAGCCTAAGGCAGGAGGGCAGAGAGACTGGGCCTGCCTGGGGAAATTGAGATCCTGTCTGAAAAAGTAAAGGGCTAGGGATCTGGCTCAGTGGTAGAGTGCTTGCCAAGAATTTTCCAGGCCCTGGGTTCAATCCCCAGTACTGGAAGGAAAAAAAATTCTACTTTTAGGTTTCCCAGTCCTTTTGCAATGCTGTTTCTCATGGGAAAATGCCCCCCTCTTCTGCCCCATTC